ATTGGAGTTAGATTTTAGTAGTTTAAGAATATGATTCATCCGTGTTTTGCTAAAGAGAACAACTTCAGCTTCATGTGCAGTGGATGCGGTTAGAGGCTGTCCATGGTGAGCAGCTAGAGGCCATCAATGGTGGGTGATTGAACCTGCCTTCATGTTTTCCTTTCCAGTTTGCTGGTTTACCATGGATCTTCCAGCGTGTGTCATGGGCATGCCTGGTTTGTTACAATGATCACACCACAGATAGGGCTTCTCTTCAATCTTCCTCAGATTGGTTCGACCAACAGCAATGGCAGAACTTTCAATGGTACTGACCATTGTTTTCTTACCGAGCATGATAAGTTGGTGACTCTCCTCACAACGAACTTCAGAGAAAACTTTCTCGATTGATGGTAGAGGTTGTTTGCCAATTATCCTTCCCCTAACCTCATCAAACTCTGTGTTAAGTCCAATACGAAATTTAAAAATACGGTTATCCTCCACTGTCTTCTTATAGTGGTTACAATCCTCCGAGGATTTCCACTCATAACCACTGAATAAGTCTATATCCTGCCATAGGCGTTTCTGAGAATTAAAGTACTTGGTGACACTGTCCTCTCCTTGACAGATTTCTCCAAGTTTCAGTGTCAATTCATACACTTATAACTGATTTCCCAAGTCTGAATACATTTGGTTGATGTTGTCCTAAAGCTCCTTAGCAGTGTCATAGCACATGTAGTTGGAGTTGATATCTTCATTCATAGAATTGACCAACCAAGTTATCACCATAGACTTCTCGGCATCCCAACTCCCAAGTGGGATGAGTGGGATCCTTGAGGACGGGCCCTTTCTCTCTCGTCAGATAGCCAATTTTGCCTCTTCCACGAATGTACCTACGCATGACTGGGACCAGCCAGCGAAGAAAATTTTCTCCACTTAGGCTTATTGTAGTAATCTGGACAGAATGGGAATATGGAGGGGAAACATGTGACCTGTTGATGGCCGTCTCGGTTGAATTGCCCAAATAGTCACTGAACTTTACACCATGCTTTCAAGGGGTCACTGAACTTTTAAAATCACCCAAATCATCACTGAACTTTGTAAAAGGTTTCCACGAGGTCACTGAACTTTAAAAATCACCTAATTCATTACTAAACTTCGCAAAAAGTTTTCACTAAACTTTACAAAATATTTCCTAGGAGATCACTGAATTAGTGACTCCTGGAAACCTTTTACAAAGTTCGGTGATGAATGAGGTGATTTTTAAAGTTCAATGACCTCGTGAAAATCTTTTGCAAAGTTCAGTGATGACTTTGGTGATTTTGAAAGTTCAGTGACCTCTTGGAAGCATGGAGTAAAGTTCAGTCACTATTTGGACAATTCACTCGTGTTTGTGGACTCAGAACCAATGTCAGACATGGTGGCGGACGGCTAGGATTTTCTTTTCTCGTTTAAGAGATCTGGAGCTCTAATACCATGTAAACTAATATGAGAAAGAAAAGTATTGTATTGCCGTAATTTTGTAAGTTTACAACGTACAATTAAATAGAAATACAAGAGAGCTATTATAGGAAACTATCAACTGTATAAAATCAAATCATCCTAACTAATTTTCTTGATTCTACCTTTGACTCAACTCTCCTATATTTACACTCCGATCACCTTAATATTCGGTATGATTAACACTAAATATTCTCCTTTCCAACAAGTATAAACTGAGAACATGTTTGGCTAAGCACAAAAGGTTGGACATCAAGTTAGGAATGTCAACATGGCGGTTATAAGATGGGTTGGCCATTTCCACTCCCGTTTCGTCAGATTTTTTTGTTACCTTACCCCATCCCCATACCCGCTTAAAGCGGGATGGGCAGGTTCAGGGCGGGATCGGATCGGGTCGGGGCAAGTTTTATGCCCCATTTATCGCCCCATTTATTTTTTCTTATTCTTTTTTATTTATTATATTTTTTACTTTTTTATATCTTTAGTTAGTAATTTATGCCCCATTTATTTTTTCTTATTCTTTTTTATTTATTATATTTTTTACTTTTTTATATCTTTAGTTAGTAAATATTATTACTTTTTTACCAATTTACTAAAAACAACTTATGTTCTCTTAAAAAATGATGATAAATCTATTATTTTTGTTTGATAAAAAACTTAAATTTGAAATTAACTTTAAACGTGATGGGTAGCGGGGCGGGGATTATGTTTTCCGTACCCGTCCGATACTCGCTTTAGTGCAATGAACCTCGTCCCATCCCTGCCCTGTTCACCCGGTTAGGCGGGTAATCCCCGCTCCATTCGGGGCGGAACCCTACGGGTATCGGGTTAAACATATTTTTTGCCATCCCTAGATCAAGTTGGCCAAAGGGAAGGTGGTAACAATCGACATTTGCCATCTTACCTGTCAAAAAGACAAATTTCCCAACACATAAGCTTCTTAGATTTCTTTCTATAAATAGTGGTGTTTATTGAACAAACAAGTAATGAGAAATATAGATAATCGATCTATACATATTATTCTATTACGTCAAGACTATTCAACTTGATTATATAAGAGAATTTAGGCAAGACATCAGCCCACGTGTTAAGCTCGTTCCAGTAACATATTTACATCATTGGTAGTAGAACTATACGTAGTTCACTGTTAACTTTTCCCTGAAAAATTTGTTTTCGACATTATTAGAACTAGCTCAAGTACCAATAAGTCGGCTCTCCATTAATATTGTCTAACTTCATTGAACGAGATAGTGTTCTAGGCAAGGCACCTCACAGGCGTTAATTGCGGGGCAACGAAATGGGATGGAATTGGCTTGGGAGGTGGGCTTACCCCGATCCATATAAATTGGGAAAGGAAATATTAGATCATCGAACTGGAGCAATGTGATTAAACTAGGGAAAATTACCCAAAAGCCTGCATTTTAAGTATACATTTCAAATATCAAATACTAAAACTTTTCTTTTCATAAATCAGGGGTTAATTCATCTTTTATTACCCATTCTCACCGCTTCTTTCTGTGTATGCATCGGCGGAGTCCTCGATCTTCGCCTACATGCGGTTCCTCCAGAGTTCAATCTCATCTTCTTCTGGTGCTTTGCCACGGTGGAATAGCTTCGCACAACCCCCAGCAGCAGCAGTCACCACCAGCATCATCTTCTACTGCCTCACCACTATCATTTCCAACTCTTCCGCTGTCTCCACTGCCATTTGGATGTGTGCCATCACCTAGATCTCCATACAATGTGCCCTCGCCGAGCTTATTTTTGCTACAGGTCAATTGAGGTTTCCACAACTTCCTTTATTGCCAACACTGTCGGTTCCAAGCCCAAGGTGGTCCGATTAATCAGCCTAGTTCAAGCTGATTTTGGTAGTGGTGATTGTACCGTAGGTAGATGAGGTGGGAATTTAGATGTCGGAGGTGGGAAGGAGATTGGTGGCGGAGGTGAGTATGGTGGTGGTAGAGGTGAGTACATTTGTGGTGGTGGGGAAAAAACTAGTGGTGAAGGTGGAGTTGGTTTAGGACTTGGTGGCTAAGATTTTGTTGGTGGTGGTGGTGGTGGCAGTAATGGTGCTACTAGCAGCGACGAGGTGAGGTGGCACGACATTTGATTGGTCTCGATGGTAGCTCTCTGGGTGGGGTAAATCTGTAGTTGTGTTGATTTACATTTGGTACGAGAGACGATGATTTTTGGTGATGGTGGTGGTGATTTGACTTTGGAGTAGGATGTGGCAGCAATGATTTAGGTCTTCTCGCCTGTTTTATTGTAGATGTGGTAGATTTTTTAGGTGTGTTTGAAAGTGAAGGATGAGGTGGGTAATTGGTGGATAGTTCGAGTCTTGTGTTTTCTAAAATTGTTTGTGGTGCATTTGTTGATGGTGTAATGTTGATGGTGGTGACAGTAGTGGTGGTGGTTGGTGTTTGTTGAAGGTGTTGGTGGAAGAGATGGTGATGGTGGTTGTGGAATTTGAGGTGAAGGTAAATTTGAGTTGAAAGTGGTAGTGGTGGTGCATTGGAGTGGTAGTGGATTGTGGTGTTGATCTTTGGTGTGTTCAGATTTGCTTGTGGTGACCAAGTTTGTGTTTATTGTGATCAGTTGCGGATAATTATGTCTTCATTGTAACTGTATGTGACCAGATTAATACCGAGTCACAAATTAGACTGATTTGGTCACATACAGTCACACTTAATACAAATTTTGATCACAATTAGTCACAAATAATACAATCACAAATTAGACGGACTTGGTCACGAATGGTTTGGTCACAGTTCGACACAGATAACACATATATGATTACAATCAATAAATCTAGTCACATACAACACAATGAGCCACAAATCTCGTCAACTAAAATACAACACTACTGCCACCACACAATATTTAAAACTTTGCTACCACCTCACCACTCCCACCACCACCACCACCACCACCACCATTAAACATATCAAGTCCTATGCACTTTTATCACCTGCAATACACCATCACCGCCATCGGAATGGTCGTCGGGATTGAAACGGTCGCCGAAGCAGTCCCCGGAGCGATAGGGTTGGTGGAGGTAGGGTGGGTTAATTATATTATATTTGAATTAAATATTTAATATATATATTGAAATTAACGCCTGAATTTTGAAATAATTTAACAAGTTTGTTAGTTTTGAAATGTGATTTTAATATGTAGGATTTATGTATTGTTTCCATTAAACTACGTCTGGTACTAAAATTTTACAAAGTGGTGCTTTAATAATGAATATAGATTGGAAACACACTGTTAAATAAACACCTTTCAATTGTTCTTTGGTTTCATTTTGGTTCCAATGAAACAAAAGATATGGAACTACAGGCTGAGTATGTAGGATGTCCAAATAATAATCTGATATCTTGTAATCATTCAAGCCTGTATCCACACATGCAATCAACGGCAAGTTATGGAGGGGGGCATCTGGTGATACTGTCCCAAAATGGTGGGTGGGTTCCTCTCCCCAGCTTTGGCATGGATTCTCCCAAGAATGGTGCTGATGACAGTCTCTAAAGGAAGTACGACAACTGCTTTTTCTTTCTTGAACCTCCTTCTCCATATAGATTGTTCCATTGCTCTAATTCATTCATTACAGATCCCTCAGAAGCAAAACTGGCAGAAACCTGCAGATCCAAGAGACATAAGAATTTTGTGATGTAAATTTCTGATGCCTGTATAATAGAGACACTACGCTCTCTGGATCTTGAATTTCAATTTTTTTAATCCAGTCTCAGGTTAGTAATTAGCCATTACATGCTTTAAGTCGACCAAGAATATAATATTTGCTAAAACCTTCTCAATTGGCTCAAACGTGATGCTTTGGTAGAGAGGTTGTTTAGAGGCAGATAGAAACCAGCAATGGTGAGTATTCCAACATTAAGACCGAGTCATGTTACCTGATTCTTTGCCTGCCTCACGTCTTCCATGTTCAAGGGCCTAAGAGTAATTACCCTTTCCTCTTTAGTTTCTTCTTTTGAAGCTGTATCATCTTGGGAACTTTGCCCTCCTTCATCTTTCTGCTTCTTTTCCTATGAGACGAAATACTTAGAAACAGATATCCAGACATCTACAGGAGATTAATACAAAAATGTTTGACAGATATAATATAAAATTTACCATATCCTTCTGTCTTTCTTGTTGTATCAGCTCTCTAACTGGTCGATAAGCCGCTGTTACACACAAATTCTGCAATCCAATATTTAGTGACAAGAGTCAGTGCCAGATGAAAAACTTAAGAAGCTCGTGTAAAAACACAAACCTTGAGATCGCTTCCAGTATATCCTTCAGTCATGGTTGCAATCTCCTTGAAATCTAAGCCTTCGATTTTTTCTTTAGACAGAAGAGTTCTCAAGATCATTTCTCTGCTCTCTGCAGAAGGTAGACCGACCATAACTCTGTTCGCCAGTAAAACAAACTCGGTAAGATAAGTATAATGCATGAGCATGAAACAAATTTGCTCAATTCCCTCAGCAAGAATTTTTAGTCAAATTTCACAATGACGTACAATCTGAAGATTATTAGGGTGAAACTCAAGGAAATTCAGGATGTGACACAACCAAGGACTGCATTTTCTGACTGGAGTCGAGAATATACTTTCATTAGTAAGATACGACTATGAATATACCTGCGTTCAAACCGCCTAATGATTGCTTCGTCAAGGTCAAAAGGCCTATTTGTTGCCGCAAGAACAAGAATGCGCACCCCAGGTTTCGTCAATAGCCCATCCCAATGTGTCATGAACTCGTTCTTAATTTTCCGCATTGCCTCATGCTCTCCTGCTTTTGTCCGCCGTCCTAGCATGCTATCAACCTCGTCCACAAAAATGATAGTTGGAGCAACCTTTGCCGCAAGGGTGAAAAGAGCTCGGACATTCTTTTCATCTTCCCCAAACCATTTTGAAGTAATTGTTGACATTGAGACATTTATAAAGCTTGCTCCAGCCTCATTGGCAATGGCCTTTGCAAGCATTGTTTTTCCAGTACCTGGAGGACCAAAGAGTAATATGCCTTTGCATGGCTTAAGAAGCCCGCCATTGAAGAGGTCTGGTCTTCTAAGAGGAAGCATGACCAGCTCCTGAAGTGATTCTTTAATATCATCCAAGGAACCAACATCAGCAAATGTAACTCCAATCTCATTTGCAGGAATAACCTCTGACCTTATGCGCTTTTCAAATTCATTGTCAGGAGGAACTTCCTGGGATTTAGCATGACAAATTATGACAAACTGAAGGAATGAGAATAGATAGTACATGTTAAAAGAACATGGAAAACTGTAAATGAGTTTTTCAAAACTGCTGATCGAGCTATAGTAGATGTGAGACTAAGGTATTCAAAATTGGCATTTATGTGCCATGACAAAAGATGACTACAAATAAATGAAACCAACATTATTTTTGAAGAAATAGAAGTTCAAGGATTTTCTTTCATATCATACACTGAAATCAGTTGCTAGATTTGAAGAAAAATTCCAGTGAAAGAATAGTTTCTTAATTGATATATTAAGAGAACTCTAAAAGGAGAAAGGTAAGAATCGAAAAGGAGAGAAGTTAAGAACAGTTCAACAAAACAATGGACCTATAGGTTTTGATCTATAGTTTCCATTCTCTTTCTTTTCCTTTAGATATCAGAAAAATTAGGCTTACTGGGGCTTTTGATACTGATGAATTTTCTCCATCCTTATTTGCTGAAGAAATTGATTTTTCCGCCTCAGTTTTGCTTTCAGTTGTTGGGTTGTCAGACTTTGAATCAGGTTTTAGTCCCACATTGTGTTCCCCTTGTATATCCTAAAGAAGCATAGCAAAGTACAATGAACTACTGAAAAAGCTTGTCAACTTGCTGCAAAGAGGAACTGAGGCAGTAGAAGACAAACCTTGGAAGATCCAACATTAGCCTCCAGTTTCAGGGTATCTTTTCCACCAGTTTTTCCCTCTTGAAATATACTTAATCCATGCGACAAACTGTCCCAGCATAGTGAAGGCATAGCCGTTTACAAAGCAGGAACGAAAAACAGAAACATAAAATAAAAACCTAAACATTGAAAAAATAAATCATTTGACACCTACCTGTTGGATGATATAACGAGCTTTCCATTACGATACACCAGATCTTTGTTATTCATCAAATGATATGATATAGCTGAAACCACAATTTCCTCTATACAGTTGCTGAGAACCATTGTGTCCACATGACAGATTGATTCTAAATCATCACACTCGAGATCATTTGCCGCAAGTACCTCAGCAATATGATTTTTGTTATCCTGAAGATGAATCTTCTTCATATCCTCTTCCAGTTGGGCTTTCCAGCTGATGAGATGAGTCTCATCTTCAGGCGGTCTAATCTCAATGTTGTAAGGAAACAAAAGACCAAGTCTCTCATCTATTTCAGCATAATGATCATCAAAGTCCAACATCCGAGAACCAAGAACCAGTACCGATCCTGATAATTTCTTTAACATTCTATCAAACAATTTGTATAGTCTCAAGGATTGAAGAAAAAGTCTCTCAACGTCCCTGATGTAGAGAATGATGCAACTGGTTTCTGAGACTGCAACCAACACCTGCAAGTGACCTTTTCAAAGTTAAATATAAAATTAAAGTTGCCGTGCATAATTATTTTGTAGCAGCAGATAAATTAAAAGATTCGGCAAGACCACACAAGATGTACGAATGGTTTCAGATTAGATGCCCAAGAATACAATGAGCACAACGAAAAAAAAAAATAAAAAATTTTGATCCGTGAAAGAATAGCATATACGGATTGGAGATGAGTGATCAATCCGTAATGAAATTACCTTATAAAGTGACTGTAAGAAAACCTTTTCATCAAATGACCAGCTGCTGATGCACCTGGAAAGAGCTGAAGAAACCGAAACAAAGATCATCAAGATAAACAATATGTTAATGATAATTGGATGGAATGCTTTGACAAAAGCAGGTATATTACTGTATCAGGAAATTAAGCAAAAAGCCAAAACATTGAATAAATATTTGCGGATTATTTAAGCTTCTATTGGTGTAGTATGCATATACACATATAGCAGAGTACAAAAATCAAGGTTGCTGAGAATATTGACACAAACCTGAAGAGACAGAGGCATTTTTTCGATGCTTTAGAGAATTACTGACTCCTTGCGTACTCCTGTGACGCTCAAAAATTAAGATTATACATGTATTTGACCTAGATTGACACTTTAGTGTTGTGACCATAATTCACAGCTAGAATACCTTGCTTTACAACTCAATTCACTGCTTTTCCTTGACAATGCACCTTCATAATAATACCATATATGACACACTTGGTCAGTCATCAAGAGAAATTAAAAAAATATAAAACTGTAAATACATGGAATATTGAATAACTCGACTAGAATGACTTTGCGTTGGTTGAAAAATTATATCCCAATTTTAGTTTACCATCAAATCTTAGATACACAGCGTCTAATCTGGCTGTTGCATTTAAATTACTGCTTGCCAAGTTGCAAGATGGCTTGCAATTTAGATGACTTATTTATACTATTTTACTAGTTCTCTACACGTAGATGGAGAAACGATAAAGGTCTTCCAACAGCAGTGTGAAAAGAAAACAACCTTAAGTAAGAACAAAGAGGTAGATAGAAATTATTGGAATATGCCATTTAAATAATTTACCTGCGTTACTGTCTTTTGGTGGAAGAATAGAGAAGGAACCAATCAAACTGGACATCCTTCCCAACGTCGCTTCTGAGATAGACCTCTGGAAAGACTATAACAGAAAAACAAGCAGAATCAGTGTACTTTTCACTTTAATCAAGTAGGTTAATTTCATTCTCATGGAAAGGAATATAATGTTATAGTCATTCAGTAATCTAATTCCCGAGATAGCTACAACATTTATGCCTAAATACCTCCATAGCATTCATGAACAATGAAGTGAAACGGATCATTCTTCTGAGTAGATGAAAGAACTTACAGTTTCTGTTTTGGCTCTGCCATACTTGCTTTGCATCTATATATGATTTACCCATATAAGTAAACAAGAAAATATATTAGTATAAAAAGTGGGAAGAATCAGCATAGACGGAGATTTCCGTCCAAGATTATCACCTTAAGTGAAAAGTCAGTTATGTCCAACAGTAACAACTTCGCTTCAAAATGATGTGCCAGAGCCTTTGCAAGAGTTTGCTGATAAAATTCTATGAAAATATGCAAAATAAAAATCACAATTTGCAAGAAGATACTGCACAAAGTTTAGTTTCAAAAATATATAGAGATGCAATATCCAATAGCATACCAGCAGGCCCTGAGAGCAATATAGCCCGACTAGCAGGAGAGAGATTTCGAGTGTGCTTAGAAACATCTAAGTGCTTTAGATGAACATATGCCGCGCTGGTTAATAACACCCGTGTACGCTCACTGTCAAATCCATCAAAAAATAACTTTTCTTTGGATTTGTACTAAGTCCATTCCAAGATATGGAATATGATTACGTCAAAAGTATATGCGAATCTAATAGTCAGGTTTACATATAAAGAATTTAACTGAATGGTAACAAGAGATTCAGCAAGAAATCAAGATGGTGTAGGATCATAAAAAAAAATAATAAATTGCAGAGATTAAAAAAAATACCATATAAACCAATAAAAATGATTTTGAATTCCAGAATTTTTTCATAAAAGATAATCGAACAATATAAAAATAAAAAACACTAAATTAAAGATAAATTGTGATTCTTTGAAATAAGGAGCATCAAGCTATATCATAGAAAATTTCTTTAAAAATAGAAAACCTTCTAAGTTACAAATTGAACAGAAAATAATTTCTCCAAAAATAAAATTTCCTCCAAATAAACAAATCATCAAAATTAAAAATGAAGAAAAATATTTGCTAAAAAAGGGATTTTATTTTACCTAAGAAAATAAGGGAAGTCATCAAAGTTGACCTCGCTATCTTTGCCATCAACAACCAATCTTAAAAGCTCCTGTTTAATTTGTTCGGCGTTGATACCCTCCGCTTGCAAACCAGAACCACCACCGGTCCATTTGCTAACAGTCTGACCCGAAACTAACCCGAGCCCCACGCCCACCCCTACCCCTACTCCCAATGCCGACAACAATATATGCTTTTGTTCCATCCCTTTAACATGTGCTCACAACAATCAACACAAACGTTCAGATATACACACGCACACATACACACATATATCTGTGTATGTGTATATCTCGCACCGAATTCCTCGCCGATTCTCACCAAGATCTAAAGCCTTTTTCTTCAATCCTTTTGCATTAAAATAAATAAAGTGTTTTTCTGTACGTATAATTTACACAGCTTTCTATTTGACAATATATTTTTCTTGTTTATATATTGTATGAAGATGCAGAGTAGGATTTGGAGAGCGACAGAGGGCAGAGAAAATAGAGAGAGAAAGTTGCGTAACTCCGAATGCGCAGGAGAAAAATTGGCCATGGTGCACTATATATAGGGGCCGGCCCCAGCTGAGAAAATGGTGGACTGATCACTGATGGAAAAAGAAAAGGAGAAATTAATTGACTTATTGACTTATAAGTTATAGTTACCAACAATAAAGTTCTTTATACCATGTTGGGTTACAATCTCTCACAAGGGAGGTGTGGCCCACTATTATTTAAATTGGGGGGCCCACTCCCCTTGTCAGAGTTTGTAATCCAATGTTGTAACCTAACATTGTACATGTAGTATTGTTCTAGTTATCAATAAAATGATTAAAAGCTGTTATTATGCCCTCGTTTTATCCAATTATTTTCAAAATACATTATGCATCAATTTATTATTTTAAAATGTATTCTACACACAAAAAAAAAAAAAGGGGGCTCAAACAAGTCTCATATGTTGGTAAAGTTGATTAAAATTGATTGGCTCCAAGAAATGTTAATGAAATAAAACTTTCTTGACTGCTTATTCGTTGATTAAATTTCATTTTTAATTCATTGAAATGTGCTATTAAAAATGAAATTTAATCAGCGAATAAGCAGTCAAGAAAGTTATGTAATTTCAATTTGACAATAGGGTTGGTGATCCAACAACCCCCTTTATACATATCTTTAATAAACACACTTTATTTATAAGTGTAGAGTTATTTTGAGCTTTTTTTTTGATCTCAAAATTTTATGTAGTCGAGTTTTTGGGTTGAAAAGCTTGTAGTTGCGTATCAAAACATTACTACTTAAAGCAATTGGTTAGTCAATTAAGTTTTTTCAATTTTTAAATCTTTAACCTTCGATTTGGGTGAAATTCGTACGATCGTTCAACCATTTTCACTCGAATGAGAACCTAAGTCCGAAGTTTAAATATTTGAAAATTTCATAAAAAAATACTTCTTGTCATGTCTAGAGACAATTGGCAATTGGCAGTTGGGACATGTTAGATGACACCCCTAAAATTATTAGTCACCCAAATTATATGCCATTGACTGGCATCATTAGATAATTGTTTAAATCTTTTTTTTTTCTTTTTCTAAATTTCACAATTTTTTAACCTTTCCTGTAAGCCCCTGTTTGGTATACATTAAAATTTTCATTTTCATTCTTCTACTCATTTTCAACCATACATTTTTCAATAAAATAATATTTTCCTTCACATCAATAACTTTTCTTTCTTTTTCAACCATAAATTCTCCATCAATCTACTATTCTAGAATACATTCTTCCAAAATAATATGGCTCAAGCACACCCTCTTCTAAGTTAAACCAAAAAATGGAAAAAGAAAAAGGAAAAACGTAAGAGTCCGTTTGTCATGTCTTTTACATTTGTTTTTGCTTTCTATAGAAGAGTTCTGGGAAGAATGTACCTAAATTTTTGTTTGAAAATTAATTTTTAAATGCAGTTCCTATTTCAGAAGTGTTTTTATAAGAAGTCACGTTAAGACCAACTTTCTCTAAAAATTTTTTAATTTGAAGAAACACTGTCATAAAATTAATCAAAATGGTGGTCCATTAGCTATTTTTGGGTCTCAAAAATTCATTTTGATTTTTCAAAAATAATTTCAAACGACCCCTAAATAATGGTTAATGTTATTACCTGATTGTACATTCTTAAAATTCATCGGATAGACAAGAATTCTTCCTATTTTTCGTTCTCTTTTGCCACTTTGAATTTGTTAGTGCTACTCCTCGGCCTCGAATTATTTGAGACTCATGAATAGTTTATTAAAAAGTGTCACTTCAACTCTTACATATAATTTTGTAAAATATATGGCACAAAAATATTTGACCTAACTATTGCATGTTATGCTAAAAGTGAAATTTTATTAATTTTAATGAAAATATAATAAGATTACTTAACGTTTACGCTGCCAAAATGCCACTTTGCACATGTTTACTTATTTTATCACTTTGGCCCACAAGAATTTCGGAGAAATTTGGAGGCGGCTCACAACATGACTTTTGTTTTTAAGTCCACCAAATAATCTTTACCCTTTCTCCATGAATTCATCATCTTCATTTTTCCTTTTTCAAAAATTAAGATATTATTATTGTTATTATTGAGATTTTCCAATTTTTTTACGGTATATTTAGTAAAATAGATTGAATTTTAATAAAATCAAAATCTTATTCATGATATTAATTAATCATGGCCAAACTAGAATATGTAGGGTGTGTTCCGTGAAGATTAAAATCAAATTAAAATTGAAAAACTAGCTGTTGTTGTTGACTTTTATTAGACGAGTGAGACTTAATAACGGCAATAGTTTTAATTTTAATTGGATTTTAATCGAAAACAAATATGCTGCTGATATCCTTTAACAACTTCTACAACTTACAATCTCCAACTCCATCTACAAGTCCACCAAGTCATCAAAAGTCATACAGTAGGAAGAAAATGAAAGAAGAGAAAAATGCACACAAATATATTTGATTGGCTCATACAATATTACTTTCATTTAAAAATTGACAAATATACTAAAATCGGGATATAACGAGGACATCTTTTATTATAATGTATGTATCATGTCTATGCTCAGGATCTCTCTAATAATGAGAAAATTGCTTATATATTAGCTCTGATCTACGATCTCCTCGTATATAGGTAAGTATTAAAGTCTTGAAATTTCATTTTATAAAGTAGTTTTTGTTAAGAAGAATATCTCTATTCCTTGTATGTTTATTATTTTTTTCATATTTAGGCAAGGTCCAGAGTGACTTATCAATGATACGAAACTCATTGTTCATGGAATAATGGTCATATTGGAAAGATGAGTCCTTCAAGAAAACTGCTTTATGAATTCCTAAAAATTAGGGTAGAAGGAATTATCTAAAAGAATCAAGTCCAAGAAAGAAACTTAGTCCAAGAAGGAAACGAATTACAACTAAGGAGGTTTTACCACATTAAACCAAATCTTCATAACCCAATAGGCCAAGACAGTTTACTTAATCGTCGAAATGTCAAAGGTGATCGATTCTTTTTTCTGGTACGATTATCTTAGAGCCTAATGGTGCTTGTTTTGGATCAAATAGTGCATACTCTGCACTTGAACAAGATAACGAAAAAAAATATATGAATTCTATCAACACAAACCGACCATGCCTAGTTCCCAAAACCCCATTAGTTTCTTGAAGGCTGAAACCAAATATGTTATTTTCCCTAGTTCACCAAATGTGACACTATAATCTCGTTGTAGATAATGGCCCACAAGAAAGCAATAATATTACCAATCCCTATTCCTCAACTTTTTGCATTCTTTTTGATTGGTTGAGTGGAGATCTATGCATAGCCCCTATTGTACGTAGCATGTGGAAAATTCCTTTGAAAATCGTCCGATGTGAAAGCCAATGGCACAAAAGCTCTTACCTTATGACTTGGAGAGAAATATGTGCAATTTTTTTGAGCTTTCATACCACGTTTCCATCTACCCAAAAAAGTGCACAGCACACCAGAGAACTTATAAGAAAAAAAATTAAAAATTCTATTTATTTTTCTGTAATGTACCATCTAGTAATTCATGAGTAATTTAACTAGCTCTCGATAATATTTTTTGAAAATAAAATTTCATTTTACTGAACATTTGAGTAGATACAACTATTCTCTCATTGTTTCAAATTAGTCAACTTTTTATTTTCCATACGCATGCCTATTCAATCTTAACGTATATGATGATGCGGAATATAGATGGCGCTTAACTTCAACTTTTTGTCACATAATTATGCACATTAACGGGTTGTAATGACCATCAAATTAAAACACGATACAAAGTCGAGACACCAATTGGATTTTTAACACTGATAAAAACAAATCAAATTATTTTGCCACGTCGACAAGGCTGTTTTCCAGTTCATCAGCACATGGTTTAATGGCCATCTTACGTTATTATTTGTTGGGTTACACGAAATGCCATATGAGTTTTGGCTTTTTTGTACAAGTTGTGGTCCTTGAGAAATAACACACTTTTTTCCAGCTTCCTTTTCTTCCAAGAAAAAAAGAGAGGCTGCGGCTTTACAATTTTTCTAAGGCATCTCTAAACTTGGTAATTAATTATACTGAAATATATCAACTTTATTGTGGACTAAATCTCTTCCTTAAAAAACAAAAGGCCTCTTTTTTTTTTTTTTAATAAATAAGGATTGACCTTTTTTGAAGAACTGCAGTCATGTATTCAAATTGGTTTTATGGCTATGAATCTCAGAATTGAGAACCAATCCACTCTAATTCGATTCTCGGTTCCATCAAATGGAGGGTAGAATATTCACGGAACAATTGATATATCGGTTCCGTGGAATGGCTTGGTTTCATGTCCAAAATTCTCAATGGTATCCAGTTTAATCTTGAACTTCTCCAAGGCAAAAAATATCATCATTTTAACTAATATGCCCTTAGCCATATCTTTACAAATCAAAAGGAAAAAAGTGTGGACAATTAGTTAGAGTAACCGGCGTTGTAGCAAAAATGAATCCCTCTCAACTGGATTAGTTCATTTGAACAAGTCGAAGTTGATAAAAGGTATTTCTTGGTCCCAAAAGAATGCAAGATGACGAGTTGGTTTAGTTTGGTTCTCATCAAAATCAAGTCCATGAGACTAATGTGGTAATCAAATGCGTTTTTACTAAAATTTCACAAATTAATATGTAATCAGAATTAGGGCTGTCTGTGAGTCGATTCGATTCGGTTTTGAAGAGACCCGAACTGATCCAAAACTTTCGGATATTTAATAAATGGACCCGTCAGGTCCAAATATAATTATGGAACCATTCGGGTTCGGTTCAATCCGATTCGGTTCGGTTTCGTACCATAATTAATTTTTTTAATATTTACAGCAACACTATATAAATACAACTAATGATATTTCATTCGTAACTTTTACAAATTAACGTAGTCCAATTCAAAAATATATAAATAACTAGCCGTCCAATAAGATTAATTCAACGCATACAAATATCAAAAAGTAGATATTAATATTACAGCAACACTACAAAAAGTAAATTCATTTGCTTCAAACAGCATGCCTGCATAAAGAAAATGAAATATAAATTAAAAGTTATAAAAATAAAATATTTTTAAATATTGGTAATACTTACCAACTATTTGATTTAATCATCAATTGCTTGACTTGTCATGGTAAGAAACTCTACAAGCATAATTGAAAAGGCACAATTAACAAACACAAATAAAATAAAAATTATTCAACCAATAAGATTTAATAAAAAAATATAATATATATTTATTACTAACCTTTTTTGTAGGGTTTGGGTTGTTAAAATGAGCTAATGCTTTAAAAATGATTTGGTTTTGGGCTTTAAAATTAAAAAATATGAAATAATTTGATTTATTTAATTAATTTGTTAATTTATTTAGAAAAAAATAAAAAAATTTAATTAATTCAATATAAAAAAATAAAAAAATTTATTTAGTTTCGATTTTTTTTCGGTTCTTCGGTTCTTGGTCTAGACCCGAGACCTGACCCAATCCCATCGGTTCTCGATTCGGATACTCATTCGGGTATTTAATTTAAGAAGAACCGCTTGGTTCGGTTCGGTCCGATTCGGTTCGAAACTTTTGGACACCCCTAATCAGAATAATGCACTTTTGATGCTTGAAACAGAAAACTCACACAACAAATGATATTTTATAATATTAACCAAATTAATATGTAATCAGAATAATGCACTTTATAATATTTACAAGAATTAATATGTAAACAGTTTTTTTTTTTTAACATTCATTAGCTAGCCAATCTTCTTTTTAATAACGATTTTCGTCCCAAAATACTAATAAAGTGCTTTAAATTTGTTGCCTTTTGAAATGTGCGAATAATAAATCAATTGAGTGTTTATACACAGTTTATAAATATAAGCCAAGTATAGACTTAATTTTAAATGATTGGGATAATAAGTGGCTTGCGAATAATTTTTAGGAATTTTTTAGGTGGAAATTTGGTGGATATCACGAAATATGGGGATAGTAATTAATAGTTTTGAATGCGTGATAGAAATTAAAATTTAATTTTTGTCAGGGTAGTCGAAATAATTTTAATTTACTAAAAATATTTCCTAGATAGAGGTTTTAAATTTTTTAGAGAGAAATGAAAAGCAGTTGGACTTGGACATTTTTAATAAATTAAAATTTCTATGAGAAACGTTTCTAGTGAATTAAAAGTTAACCTATAGAAACGACCTATGAAAATGGATTCAAAAACAAATTCTAATAAACTTTTATGAGATTCACAACTTTTCAACATCACATATTAACTTTTATCAAAGTCTATTAAAAATTTAATTTTAATCCTTAGGCAAAATTATTGCAACTCGAACAGCTTTATTGTAACGGATGAAAAAGACCACATTTCGTACAATAGTACACAATCAAAATACAAGCATATTCACACAGAAAATTTACAAAAATGCAAAATAATTTTGCAGACGATTTTTATTGACGACTATCTTTACGTACAACCACTCCATTGATCCGAAAAATGCAGACTTGCACGACTTGTTGAGCTGTAAAGTCCCAAATACTCCCCAGAATCCAATAATGAATCCAAGTGTCATAGCAATGTAAAATCCTAGAGTGATGAATTCGTCCTCTTCTTCTGGACTTTCTATCCCTTTTTCGTTTTCGTTGAACTTTGGATCTAGAGAGCTTTCATTTCCTGGACACGGTTTTGTAAGTGGAGGTCCACAAAGTCCTGAATTTCCCACATATGCCGATGCTTCAAAAGTTTGTAAATGAGCAATGAATGGAATTTTGCCCGACAGATTGTTATATGACAAATCCAACACTCCGAGCCCATCCAATTGAGAAAGGCCGTCAGGAATACCACCAGAAATGTGGTTTCTTGACAAATCTAGAAAATCCAAAGACCTTAATTGTCCAATCTTCACAGGAAGGAGTCCGCTTAGATTGTTTCTTGAAAGATTCAACGCAACCAGACTCGCAAGACCTGTAATTTCAGGAGGAATTTCACCGACTAAAGTATTGCTTGAAAGATCAATGAGTTTCATCAGTTTAACACTCTTTATGTAGTCGTTTTCCTGTCTTTTCCATGTCAATTCTGCACCCTCAACGTGATCCATTGGATAATTGAATTGATCCGACTCAAACTCCACTTGATGAACCATAGCAGTGAGGTTGCTTAGGCATTTCGGTATAGCACCAGAAATCTTGTTGGAAGAGATGTCTAGGACTTGTAAACGAGGTAAATAACACAAGTTTAAAGGAATGGTACCAAGGAACCGATTGGAACGCAGATTTAGAAGGACCAATTTTGACAAATGATCTCCCAACCATGTAGGTATTTCACCGGTCAACTTATTTTTCGAAAGATCAAGAAAACGTAAAGATGTACAATTCCTCAGTGATGCTGAGATTTCTCCGGTAAAATTGTTGTTTTGTAAATGTAAAGAAGAAATGTTATTTGGCAAAGGAATCTTTCCCGAGAAATTATTATATGCCAAATTGAGAAATTTTAAGCTCATCTGATTTGCAAAACAATCTGGAAGTTGCCCTGACAATAGATTCTTGGAAAGATCAAGATAAACCCAAGAACTAGCTACACTGCATAAATCAGTAATTGAGCCCCAGAATTTGTTATTTGAAAAGTCCAGTACTGATCCTTTAAGAGGCAAACTTGGTAATAAACAATTAAACTGATTAGAGCTCAAATCTATGTACGTAGTGTCAGTGGAAAACTTTGAAGATAAATCAGGAAGGATGCCGTGAATGTTGTTATGTGATGCGTTAAAAAAATATAATGTTGGAGAGAGATCCCAAAACCAATCAGGTAAGGCGTCATGAATTTCAGCATTAGAGATGTCAAGATAACGTAATTGCTTCTGTGTGTGAAGCCATGCAGGAAAATGTGGCCCGAGTTTGCAATCCCCCAACCAGAGAAATGTCAGTTGAAAGGGAGGATTCCATCCGGAGCTAAAATTGAAAGATATATCTAAGTTGGATTCCAACTGTAAAAAGTTTAACCGGGAGAGACCAAAGAAATGGGCTTCTGTGATTACACCTTCGAAACGATTTTCACGAAGATTCAAATTCTCAAGCTTAGAGAGGCTTCCAATTCTTTCTGTCAGAGTCCCATTAAAAATATTGGAACTAACATCTATCCATATCAACGAGGAAGAGGATAAAAGATTATATATTGACCCTCTAAGTTGGTTATAGGCTAGGTCTAAATATATTAAACTACTCAGATTCCCGAAGGATGAGGGAATCCCACCGTCAAGTAGATTAAAGTAGATTAAGACGTAGATCAAGATCCTCAAGTGATGCTATGTTCCCAATAGCATTAGGAATAGGACCTTGTAAATTGTTGAGCCTGACGTCAAGGTTAATAAGACTACTGCTGAAGTTAAACAACCAAGGGAATACCGAAGAAGAGGGTAGACTATTTGCATAAAGAGAAAGATCAGAAAGAAAATTAGAAGCATTGATCATTGAAGGCAAGGGATCAACGAGCGGAGGTAGGTGGCAGGATGACATGTGTAACAATTGGAGACGAGTTAGTTTACTCATTGTTGGTAACCAATCAGTTGCAAACGTGAGGTTAACATGACTCAGGTCAAGGTGGCTCAACGAACGAAGTGTAGAAAGCCAATCAAGGTTTGTGCTTGTTAACATTGAATTATATCCGACACTAAGAAATTGCAATTCCGAAAGGTTGCCGAGGTGATGCGGAATGTGCCCTCCTAAATTAGAATCGGACAGATCAAGGTGTTGTAATCTGCCAAAGGAGCCAATGAATTTTGGAATTCGGCTACCATTGAAATCGTTATAACTGAGATCTAAATAATTCAAATGGCGTATTTCAAGCAACCATGGGCTGATGTTACCTCTTAGATGGCCGTCAAATGAACCACGAAGATCCAATTCAATAACATGACTAGTTTGGTTATGACAACGGACACCTTTCCATGTGCAACATTCCTTCTTATCTTCGTGGGTTCCCCAAGAAGCAAGTCGGCCATATTCATCAACAAGCTCGTCTTTGAACTTGAGAAGAGCCTCTCTTTCCCTCTCCAAGCACCTGATTCTACCACCCTTTAATCGTGAAGAGTGTCCATGAGCAGCTCTAAAGCTTAGTAACATTACGATAACTAACCAATGGATATGATGACATAACTTTTTACCAACCATCATTTTGAGAACAAGTGTGCACTCAATTATATGTTATTGTGGGATTCTCTACCATTCAAATAACATTATTTATAAACTATGAGTTGGTGTTGCTGTTATTCAAAAAAATCTTCCAATCAGCAATAATGCATTGGAAAAACATTATGACTTGTTCCAAAGGTTAAAAAAGCAAAAAGACTTGACTTCCATGTATAGATCTTGTTTTTTTCCGGAAAGATTCTTTGTATGGTATGAGTTTAGCACCTAATTACACGTTTAGTCAAGTTGTTCAAATCAAAGTCTTTATCGACTGTTCGTGTTAAAGTTCGGAGGTTAATTAGTGTGACAGCTCCATAAGTTCAAGGCATAAATTCTCCATTTATAGAAGAAAAATGACTTCTAGCAGCATATATAAATAGTAAATGAAGAAAATAAGTGGTTTGAAAACATGAAGTGCAAGAAAATACATATGTTAGACTAGAAATCTATCCATCTCTCTATTAAAGAAATCTTTATAAATTCACTAATTATTGAGGATACTTAAATTTCATTAAAATCTTAATTAGGGACACCTAAATTTTAATATATTTAATTAAAATGCATTAAAATCTCAATTGAAGATACCTAAATTTAGAAGAATTTTAAAAATTCATCACAATCTCAATTGAGAACACATTTCTTAAGTGAATTTATATTCTATACACGAAGTTCATATTTTCCCAACAGCTCTAACGGCTTCAAACTAAATGAACAAAAGAATAGACTTTTTTGTATTCTTGAATGAACACTAGGTCTATGGGGAAATAAAATTCAGGTTAGGCTTTACAAGAAGAAAATTTACTATTCCATCTATCCCATAAAGATAGTCTTACTTCCTTTTTCATACTGATTATGAAAATAATTTTTGCTATCATTTTTCTTAAAATATCCCTACATTAATGTAATCAATATTCAAGGTAATTAAATTATGCTTTCAATATTTAAGGTCATTAAACTATTCTTGGTATTAGACACTCTTCAATGCAAGAATCAAGGTAATTAACATTCCAAAATCATCCAATACAAATGAATAAATGTCATAGGAGATGAAACATTTTAATTTGTTGTTCCAACTACAATTGAATAATGGAATGATTTATATTTGTGATAACAAAGCACATTAAATATGAGTATATTAGGAAAATAATATATTAACTATACTTTCAAATAGAAACATGACTATAATTTGGGGAAATAAAAATAGGATTATCTTTATGGGACGGAAGAAGTAATAAGTTTCTTTGGTCTTGAAAGTTGCCCCCGTTTGGCTCCCATTATCCCAAAAATTTATTACTCTCTTATTTTCAACCATGCAATCTTCCATAAAATAATATTACATGCAAACTGAGAATTCTTCCTTCTTTTTCATTCACACATTCTTCAAAAAATACTATTCCAAGAATTATAATTGCCACTTAATGGAGACGGGGAACTAAAAATTGATCACTACAATGATCTCAAACATCATCGATAATATAAAAGTCATTTCTCGATTAGTGCCTTTTCCTTCAGAGAAGTCATGCTGATCTTCTATTTATCATTTACACAGTTATATTTTATTAACCACGGATGTACGCAAATCACGAAAAGGACGTCGCAAGATACATACAAAAATGGATTTTTGTAAAAACAATCTTTCTAAACAAAATATGAGTTTCCACGCAAGTCACAATTTTCTACAAAGAAGACTTGCTTGGCGTGTTTTTTGGGCTGCTTGACTCGAGACTTCCCGTGTTTTTATCGACACACACTGGACCATATCACTTCATTATCTCTCATCTGATCAACAATGTACATGATTTTTGACTGAAAATTGCATGTAGGGTGTGTTTGAGCCACATTATTTTGGAAGAATGTATTTTAGAATAATAAATTGATGGAGAATGTGTGGTTGAAAAAGAAGGAAAAATTATTGATGTGATGAAAAATATTATTTTATTATAAAATATGTGATTGAAAATGAGTAGAAGAATGAAAATGAATGTGTACCAAATAGGAGCGTAATAAATAATTTACAATGGTTGTATCTTCTTAACTTGAAAAAAGTAGTGATATTTTTGCACATCTTGCTCATAGTGCGGTCCCACGTGTATTGTATTTGGTCAAGTAAGCATAGGTGAATAATCAACCGTGCAGATCTAATGAACTGATTTCCCAACCTTTAAATTCCTAAGAGCAGCAGATGCAGACAAATCCGCAACGACAGTAACCACATCGAGCATATTTCTACTTTTTGCATCAACAAAATCAACTCCAACGCCCTCTTTCGCTTCTCAGTTCGAGCATTGCTTTAGCCTTCCTCTAGCTAACCAATTGCAAATTAGGCATTCGATCAAACGTCTTATGCAACTCATCACATTTAGTGTAACAATCCAGGTCCCACTTAACGGACTGTCCCGGCCGTTAGATCGACGACGTACTGTCCCCACTGTACCAACATGGATCTTTTCAACATATTTTATCCTCACTCGCACACTCCCCGAAGAAAACTTCTCAGAGGTCACCCATCACTTGCACGCTCCCCGGGAAAACTTCACAGGGGTCATCCATCATAGAATTACTCCAAACCAAAGACGCTTAACTGTGGAGTTTCTAACAATGGACATCCGAAAAAGAAAGTATACCTTGTTGGTATGACCGATACTTATGTGGTAAACTTTGAAGCCATGTTTAAGATCAAACATATTTATTTCACTATGTCTCTTCTTCAATGTAAAACGCACAATAGATGTCAAAACGTTATCCAACACCAGTTGTACTAAAACATTATTCTAGGTGGCTAAACTTTATAAGTTCAATTATGTGAGTCACGTGGCTTTGCATTTGAATTTATCATATAATTATACCTTAAATTGGTGTTTAACACCAATGAAGATGAATGACATTACTCTGTCAAGAAAAGTTGTCCTACATTGGAAAACCAAAAAGATTGAGGTAATTGGCACAAACACTACTATCATTTTCATGATTTGCGCAATTCAATCATCTCCTTTTATTTTAACGTAATACACCCTTAAATTAACTAAACCTTGCGCAAAACAACTCTACCATCAATTTATCCATTTAAAGAGTCCCATATCTTTCAAAAGTAAAATAATTTAAAATAAAGAGAAATAAAATTAAATATTAAAAAAAATCTCTTTATTCTTCAGCCAATCCCACAGACCAACCCACTACCCAACCTCCTTCCACCATACTACCAGTTATTGTGTTCAATCAAACACCTCTTTATATTTTAGGATAAAGTTATTTGTAGACCAGGTGTACGTATCCTCTTTCACATGAATATTGTGTGCGAATATTTTATTGTGTGTGGGACCCCCTCCATGTGACAGAGGTGTAAAAGATTGTGTGAATGATTATGTACATGTAGCATGATTGTATATTTTAAGTGGTAGAGAAAAAAATTTGTGACTTTGACTCAAAAGAATTATCGATTTTATTATCGACCTTTCACATCACTAGTCTTTCCACACTAATTTTAAAAGGCCTTGACTCTAGAGTCAATGGAAAGAGAACTATAATTTTCATCACGTCTCTAATAACACATTGGACACGGTCATCACTTTTGCATTTTTCTCTGTCATATACGAACATTGAGTCATTTTTTGGTTTCTCCATGTAGGACAAATTTGGAAATGAATAATATTTTTGAACTTGTAAATATTTCGTATTAAAGTGTTAATTGCATTTGAATAGAGACGGAGACTGTACATTTAAAATTTTTGTCAGCTAAAAATTTAATTGTTTTTCATGAGTAAAATTATTTTTGGTGACATTATAACTTGTGGTATTAAAATTATTAAATTCTATTATTATATATGATTTTTTTAGTAGTTAATTGATGTTATATGACTTTTCTTAAGTTGATATGAAAATAGGAAAAATCACACATGAGCCCCAAATCTTCGCCAGAAGTGCATTTACATCCCTTACCTTTTGAACCAAGCATATGACCTCTTAATTTTGTATCAATTAGGTCCCTAAAAAAAATTCAAATCAAAAGTTTTTAAACAAAAAGAAGTTTGCCCACCAAAGCCCTATTAGTCATTTGATAGACTATGACTGTCACGTTTCATCGAAAGTGCCAACTC